CAGATAGACGCAGTCTTGCGCTTCTCAAGACCTCAGCGTCCAAAGTCCGTTCACTTAAACAGGTCTCGCGGTTACATATTTGTTAAACGTGACCTGAATCTACCTCCAGTTCATTTTCATGCTTTAATAGTTTTTTGAGTCTTCTTCGGAATTCTTCCAGTGAATCAGAGTATTAAGTAATGCCAATTCATGTCTAGCTCCGGATTTCTACGACGGGGCGTCTTAAATTTCCTTCACGGCTGCAGTGAATAACTAAGGTAATATTGGGTCCTTCTGTCAGGCGCCCTTTCCTTTCTGAACTTGCCTGTGTTTTCGTGAAGCTTCACACACAGCAGTTGTATTCTTGAAAATCATCATGAACAGGTTGGGGTTCTGTATATTTTCTCGATTCAATGGCTCCCCAAATTATCCAATACAGATCTGGTGTAGTCTGAGACGAATCTCGGACAATGCACAAGCTGATTTTCGTTGCTTGTCTGATTCGCTTATTGTCCCAATTGAAGATGGATCAATTGTGTTGAATCCTGCACGCTTTTGTGGCCGTGCGCAGTCCCGTTTATGTTGACTAGCAAAAAACTGATGAGCCTTTAATTCTTAAAATCCGAGTATATACATATTCGATGATCTCACTTTAAAATCCTGAATGTCATCAGACGGTGTGAACTTATATTAGACTATAGGCATAGATTTAACGAAGTTAATATCTGCCTTACTGACAAAGACAAGGAGAGAATTAATTTATTCATAGAAAACGCTTTACATTGTTTCATGTAAGTGATAGTGCTTAATTCATCTTAATTTCTGAATATTGAAAAATTTTAATTCTAATATTAATAATTTCAACTTAGTACCATGCATTGTATTAATTAATATAACAGTTTATTTCCGTTTTCGATCAATCAGAAATCTTATGACAAAAACCTTAGTGCCCTTCGAATCATCGACTGCATATGAAGAATTGTGTCGATGCCTCCTCTTTGGGTATCTAGCAATAGTACCAGAAGACCTTTCGTCTAGAAGACTCTGCAATGTAGGAAGGATGTTTCGCAAACCTTTTAGTAACCGCATCTGCCATTGCCATTAAACATGCTAAGAAATTTCAGGCGATCCCGTAGCACAGTCTAAAACAATGAGCGTACAAAGCTTAGATATAAAAAGTTTGCGGCGTAAGGCACTGCCTCTAACCTTCACATTAAGGATTAGTTTCAAGTATTTCGAATCGACGGATAGGGATGATGGCAAAATCTGTCAGCATCACAAAATCAGTGACATGCTGACAGCCGCGTTAAAGTTTGCAATCGAACAAGCTGACAGTGGGCAATTGTTCTGGGATATAAAACTTAATGCACAAAATCTTTTCCATCAAGAAAAACACCTGTTCAATTTCTGAGAATAAATATTAAGGTAATTAAGTTCACGTATTTAATTAATTAAGTAAAAGCATTTGTCTACTACAGGAGAGGTAGCAATTCATTAAACAAGGCTGAATATATGACTTCGAAACGGACTTGTGCCAAAAAGTTTGATTTAAATATGGCTACGACTTAAGCACCGAATCAGAGCTGTCCTGAAACGTCATCTTTTCTTTGGTCGCCGAGACAGGAAAAGATTTCCACAAACGTGCTTGCCATCTCCTTCGCACCGTGCGATACAAAACGGAGAGTCTCCAAGCCCTTTGTTTACTGTTCCTTTGATACTACGTCTCCAGCCCCGGGGGAGTTAGCTGTTGAAGCGATCCATTCAGCCGTCCGCCGTCCACTGAGCGCTTACTGTACGTGCTCAGTGAAAATAACCTAACCGCGCGTTTGTGTAGCTGAAGGATCGTTAAAATGCGAACTGAAAATTTAATTACTTGTGGAGTCACAATGATCGATTAGATATGCATAGTTTTGTCGCTGATTTTGTTCTGCATATCAATAACTTGATCATACACTCATAGTTGGGACCGTTGTGAAGAACTCGCTTCCCACGGTAAGCTCACGCAGATTGCATACAACTTGAAACAGTGATAGACCCGCTGTGA